CATCATTCCTCATCACTTGCCAAAGAGAAACATGTATTTTAAATATTACATTCCTTACTTACAAATGATTTATTTAGGATGAAGTCTCTCATTAACTCTAGCCATATAGCACTTTACATTTTAAACTAGAGAACTTTCACAAGAAAGGTAAACAAGTTTATTCAGCTTTTTACACAGCAGTATACAATAGCACAAGGTGGTATGCCTACTAAAATGTTTTGTTCAAGACAAAAGTACTAGTTGAATTTTTTATTACAGTAAAAATACTTATGTGACTTCTTATTTGGCATTAAAATGTGACTGCATTGTTTCTCTTAAGAACTCAGCAGCATATACCTTGAAAGTTACTTGATTCACATCAGACCAGTCATTTTGAAATAAACAAAAGTGATTTTCTGTTACAGTCTTAATAATGGCCATTGACCAGGGACCCCCCTGTACAAACTGGTCCTTGGACACAGAAAATCTATTCTGTGAATCAGAGATTCCAGGAAGGCCCAGTGAAAATAATGGAACTATTTGGGGAATAAGGTATTACCTGGCCTTAACATAGTGGTGACGACCAGGAATTAGCCTTTCTTGGAATGGTTAGTTTTAGTATTTCTTACTAGGTAAAACATTTTTAATTGGTCCTTCTAACCTTTTACTGAAGAAAAAAATTTATTAATCACTCAAGGGCCAATTTTGTGTTCCAGAAACATAAACTTAGACATTTCACCCACTATGGGGAGAAAATAATACAGGTCTCTTTTTCCAGTAGCAGCAGTAGCAGCTGCTTGGAAAGGAATTGTCAAAAGTGCCACTGAGGTGGAAGGAAGTTTTCCACGTCTCACATTTAGTGGAGGAAAGAAATACTTTGATGTTCCAAAACTTCAGTTAAGATGACCCTGAAATGATTATGGCACTTGAAAAAACTAAGGATTAATTTTTCACCCTTTGTGAGCTCTGGAGTTGTGTGAAGCGATGGACAGAGCAGGCGAGCTACTCCACAGAGAACGTGACTTTTCCATATCATTTAATGTACATGTATCCCTTTCTCCTTCATGAACAGCTTCATGATTTTGGGCTTGTATGGGTGAGGGCAAGGCATACTGTGTGTCCTGTTTATATACAAACCTGGAATGTGAACAATGGTGAGTTGGGCAGCTGTAAATTAGTGTTATCAGTGGTGTGCCTGACAAAAACCTGCACAATGCAGAAATACAAAGGATTTAGTGGTTTTTACCTCCATTCAGATCTGTTACTTATAAGCTTAATGGAAACAGCAGGCAACCTATTGCCAGGGTATAAGCTTTCAGCAGTAGCAGTTTGGGAACTTCCATGGCCATAGCCCAGCCTGAAACCTCACCTTTGTTTTCCAGTTATTTGTTCCCTGCTTCTGTTCTCTTAATTGAAGAGAGGAAGTAGATGTTAACTTCCTCTCTTCAGAGGGTTCATTCTGCAGAACAATGCTCTGTGTAAAATGGAGGTAACTGAAGTGAGTGGTGTATGGTTGGTGAAATTGGATTTGCATGGGCACTGCATAGGCTTCAGCACTGCCTGGCCTATGTGGTTGATGTTGATTTAAGTGCCCTCAGGGCCAGATCTTGTAATGTGTGCTTAGCACACAGTTGTGTTGCACTGACTTCCACAGAAGTAGAGGAACTGAACGCATCACTGGATGCATTCATGTTTGTGCTTGGCAAGAAGGGCCTCCCAAGTATTTAAAGCTAGCATAAGTGATAATGCACTATTATAATTGTGTTAGATGGCTGAGTGTGATACTACATACACTGGCCAAATCAATCTCCTAAAGCTTGAATTCTTTGAGGATTAGTGCAGAGAACCTTTAAAACCCCCAGTGGGTATGGCATGTACCCTTGTAAACTCAGTGGAGCACTACTTGAATAAAGAATTTACAGTCATACTGAACAGGAGTAAACTGAGAGGGTCCAGAAAATGTATGGGATTTAAGTGTGTTTACACACCAAATATCAACATATAGAAATTTCAGCTTCAGGAAGTTTTAATGGAAGAAAGTAGCTTGATCACTCAGTATATTTTGCAATTTTAGCTGAAAGTTTAACATCACAAAATGACATACTGCTATGCAGCTTTAAGAATCACACAAATGTATTCAATCATTTCCCCACTTTTCAGATGTGCTGTTCATTAAAAGCTCTTCTCCTGTTTGCAGTTTCCAGTTTTCAAACGGATGAAACAACCAATGCATAGCTTAATGTTCATTCTTATGAGTCATAATTAATAAATAATCGTATCACATACATAGAATTTTACAGGTACTCTTAAAATGGTTTTACAGTTCTATTAAATATATAGATAAAATAATCACTGCTATATAAAAAAATCATTTTAAAACAGCTGAACTCTGAAGCTTTGCATAAAATTCTGTAGACACATTCATTACAATCTAGAAACTCAATAAAAATACATTTTAGAGCTCAATCTCTCAAAAATATTCATGGCGTTGTAAATTGATTGTCGTTTTTTACTGTAGTCTGTGCTTGCCATGCCTTTGCACTGATAATTTCCTACAATTTGGCAAAAGCTATATTCTGGTCAGTTTGTAGATTATGTGACTGTTTAACTCATTTCCTCAACTCTAAGTTATCTGCCCCATAAATGTTTAGTGTGGTTCTGTCTTTAATAGTGCATCATTCCTTGCACTTTATATAAAATCACAATGAAAGACTTTGCAGTTAAATTACATGACTATAGTGACATTGAGCCATCCTATTACAGTTGCCACTCAGTCTTTAATGCTGCTTCTGTGAACACCAAACATCCTTTATCCAGTGATCCTCAAGGCACTTCCTGACACTTACACTTCACAATGCTCTGCTACCCACATTTGCTCAAAACCGGCAGGTTTTAGAAAGAGTCTTAACAGATCAGTACCCTGGTGTATCTGAATTCAGTCACTAAATCAATATACCAAATGTGGGCAGTTCAAGCTTACCATTTTTCAACCCAGGCAAAAGTTCAGCAAAAACTTCTGTATTCAGACAGTGCACATATCTGTTGCAAAATGGGTAGACAATGGATTGCCCACCAAGCTTTAAACCCTCTGGGCAGCAAGTTAAAGTAGGCTTTGCCATAATAAATGTTTCATAATCAGGCTTTTAGGCAGCAGCTCAGAACAAGCCACAAACCCCAAAACCAAGCAGTGTTTTCAGAACAGCACACTTGCATTAAGGAATTGGATCTTGCACTGTGGAAGATGCAGGCTCACAAGTCAGTTTAACTGGGGGAAGCTGCTGCTTATGCAGATGTCAGTCTTTACAGTTCCAGGTAAAGGCAAAACTCTTGAAGAGTTCAGTTGTTTTTTAAGCACAGTTGACAACACCAATCACTCTTAGCACATCACCCTGGATCTTCTCACCCATGGAATGGCTGGGTAAGGTACACTGCTTCTGTTATAGCACACCCACAACAAAACAAACCCAGAAATTGAAAGCAATGTAATACCAGGTATCATGGAATGCCTTAGGTTTTATTTTTCATCTATTTTGGATGGAAGAAGCAATCTCTGTCTCTCAATCGGATAGGCTGGGAAAGTGTACTGGCTGAGATGGCCAATGCAATTGTGGGATGGAGTTTGACATTTAAACTGCTCATTTCAATGTATCAGTCCCTGTTCATCAGTGGCAACTAACAAAGAAAACCTTGGGTTTTCTCCTTCGTGGACAAAAATACTGTGTAATGACATTTCTGGCATCAGCACATTCCCATTCACCTTTCCATTCTTCATGGATGTCAGTTGTTTAGCTAAGACATCCAAAGAGCTCCTCATCCTGATTAATTTTCTTAGGAGAAAGGAAAGAAGAAGGGAGCATACTTGATTGAATTTTGATAGCTGTAAAGCCCTCTAAAGATACTGTAATCCAACTCCAAATAGCCTCTGCTGAAGATTAATAAACATGGAAGAATCAGAGTAAAGATACAAAGGGTCAGAAAAAGTTATCCTAAACCAAAGAAGCCTATGAAGAGTGAAACATAATGAAAAGCTGTCAATAGTTTTGCTGCAAACTAGTGTGGTACACTGCTGCTTGCTGCTTTAAATAGATGCCATACCCCAGCCTGGTATACTCCTGTTTTCAGGAGAAGCATAAAAGGTTTCTTATACTAAGTTTTATTCTTTCAGAAGAAAAAGCACTAACTACTTTCTATTTTAGCCTACTTCCAGAAAGCACCTTCAAAAATTCTTATTTAAGTTTTCTTTTGGAAGAAAGTATCACTGTCTTCCACAACAAGCACAAACAGGTTCATGGATCACAGAATGAGCTGACTCAAAATCTTGACTATTTTCATGAAGTAGCTGAAAGAAGTGTATTTTTTTTTAAACTTGAGCTAATTTAAACCAAATTAAGTTGGGACATTTGGATCTCTTCCTCACCAAGAAGAATGGATCTTATTTCTAGGTTCATGGAGTGAATCCAGTCAGCAGTGGCAGGACAGAACAGGAAATATTTCAGCTTTGTTAAAAGGTGTTCAGAATTTTATCTTCAATGTTTAAGATCTCTTGTCATTCCTTACTTCTATTAAATTCTAACTGCAGCTCAGTTGCTATATATTTTGATGTATCTTGATCCTAGATGCTATTAGTTCAGCTGAAAACTTAGCCAGGGTAGGGATACACCTTATGCTACAACAGAATGTGTAAAACTTATAGCCATGTCATTTAATTTTCACTCACTGTAAAATTATAAAACCCTTCATTTTAGGAAGCACATTGCAATCAACCTTCTGAGTTTTCAGGTGGAAACAGCAACGTGATGCAGTCTCATAAAGCATATAGTGAAACTAAAAATCTGCCAATGAGAAGTAGTGACTTCACTAAAAGTCTCATGGAGAAAAGTTACTGCTATGAAATTGAAGATTTTGTCCTGCAAAGCATGGATTACACCTTTTCTAGCAAAAATCCTATATCAATTATCCTAAAGTGATCATTGATGTGGACAAAAATTACAAGAGGCAGAAGTAACTGAACTGTGCCCATCGATAAGCCACAGGAATCTCTTCAGTTGCGCCAGTTGTCAGCATTTCTCTGTACTGAGTTTTACATCTGTCATTTCTTTCTCAATTGAATTGGACACTTAAAATATATTTCTAATTCTTTTACCATGCCCTAGTGCCTTAACAGTAGCCTCAGCAAAGGCGCTTACCTATTATTTTTTGTATCTGCAAAAGACAGAAATCTTTATGTGATCTGTAAGTAAAAGCAGCAAAGAAATTGAAGCAGAAGCAGTCTCAGAAATACTGAGGTGCTTTTAAAAATCTTTAGTTTCTGGCCTGAGATTTCCCATATAAAGTCTCCTAAGCAGCAGTAGCATGTATGTTCTTCACATTTCTCCATACCCAATTTATTCCTGCAAATCAAACATACCAAAAAGTGCAGGATAAAAATTACTTTAAATCGTTAAAAAAACCCCCCAAACTTCCCTACCCCAATAAACCCTCAACCTGATTTTGTTGCTTCACTGGATTTGCTGCTGCAACTGTAATCAATTCCTGATGTGTGTTTCACTACCTGTAGCTCTGCTCTGCCTCTAACTCTTTCAAATGGAAAATGGGAAGAAGCATTTCTAGCCTTGCCCCTGCAGGTGGTCAGATCCAAAGGAAAGAACACCATCCCTCTTCCACAGCTATCAGGCCCTACATAAGAAAATGGAGCCAGAAGAATAATTTTTGAAGACTAGAGCTCTGAATTGTTCATACCTCTACTGATAATTATCTGGTTTTATTTAGCATCTTATAAAGCAAGGCACAAATGTACAAAATCGCATCTACTAAATCAGATAATTTTTATATATATTTACATGATTACCATAATATAAAACGTGCTTTGACACTGTCATAGCACAACAGTAGCGGAATTGAGGACAACCTGATAATAAACACAAATACCAGGTCCTGGATTTCTGTTTGTGCTTCACCTGAAGAAACATATTCATATGCAGATACACAAAGCAATCCAGCCACCATCCCTTTATTTCTCACACAGATCAAACTTTGTTGCTAAGAAGCTGTGGAAGGAGTAAAAGGCAGTAAACCAGCACCCAGAAGAAAATTACAAAGTAGAATAGCTCTGGCTGCTCAAAAATCGTTATCTCATGAGTTGGTGCTGAAGTCTCACTTGCTTCCAAGTCGGTTTTCTTCCTGAAAACAGGAGAGAATTCAGTAAGAGGCAAGGAAAAGAAGAAGAAACCTTCAGTGTTAATAATTACTGTGAAGATCAGAGGGTGGACTAAAAGACAGCAGTTAATGAACCTTTTCAGTCTAGTAAGTTGGAGGGCCCCAACTAGACTAGGAGGGGCACACTGGGTGTTAGCAGAGTGTTCCTTCCAGAGTCAACATATGGAAGAATCAATCTTCTGAGAACTCCAGATAAATTCTCAGGTAGTTTAAGTAAGTGCCATTGCAGCACAGCCCTTATATATCTCCTGATATAAGGAGATTTCCACCTGTCAAAAAGATACCCTTTTATTATCAGAACAGTAAACACAGCACTGGGCAACAAATCTCACACTTCCACTGGATCTGACTTTCCTCCAGTCATCTACTTTCAGAGCCTCTCATCTTAGGCACCAGAATATTAAATAGAAAAAGCCCAAGACCTCCAACCAAGAAACCATCTAGCAGCTGGAGGTTTGCAGGACAACTCCAAAATTTTAACTTTACAAATTTCCAGCTGTGGTTCATAAGGGCAAAGACTGATGGATTCTGCCAGCACCAATGAGCTCTCACAAAGACAAGGAAAGATTTTATTTTAAAAGGCACAAGATGGTACAATCATTTTCCAGTACTGTAAGAAGAACACTCCAGTAAATTGTTTTTAATCTACTTTTGGAGAAAAACGGTGTTTTTCTGCTTGGGGCCTCCTACTGGACATATATCTGAGTATTACACAAAATTCATTTAATATCAGCAAATTGTACAACTGGTACAACTGTAACAGCTATTTGTGTATTTTTTTTTAACAGAGAGCCACGCCAGTAGATCCTGATAATATTTTGTGTGCTTTCTGAATATAAATATAACAAACATTTTACCTAGAAGTTCTGAGAGGTACTATTCAGTATCAGCTTAGAGGCAAAACCTAAAGCAATCCTTGTTTCTTATAGACCCTAATACCAAAGGGATGCACACTCTGTGTTCATGACCCATCATTTTAAGTCTAAACTAAACACACATACAAATTATCAAAACTCATAAAAGCTCCAACAGAGGCCAGTCCTCCACTGAAGTAACTGACTTTCCCTGGCACTGATCTCACTAAACACTGTTTTGACAGTCTTCCAAACCTGGAAAGAGTGAGTCATTGCTGCCAGAGGGACATTTGAAGTTCTCCCACTCTTCTCTCAGCCTGACATACCCACAACGTGGGGAAAATGCTCAGAATCTTGCTTAGATAGCTGAATCTTTCAGGTCAAGAAAAAGCATTTCAGTCAAGGGACAGATTGAGCAATAGGGAAATTTTGTATCCTACACCTATGGGAAACATGGACTCTGAGCCATTACAGAAGACAGTTCCTACCATTATAATTAATTGACAGCTCCCTTTGTATCACTGCTAGTAGTACCTAGGAGTTATGGCTTCCTTGCAAAAGTCAGTCTGAATAAGAAGCACTCACCCGATGATTAATGGATTTTCACCCATATCTGTCATCTTCTGCTCGTTTACACCATAGGTTTCCTTAAACAAACCAGGAATAGATTAGATAACAAAAATAAAATTCAGCATCTCACAGAGGTGGTAATTGTGTATTTTATGCAAATTGTATTTAATGTTTGCTCAAATAAAATGAAAGTGTGCTTATAAACACATTTTCCATTGCACATCCAGCACTGCAGTCTGGTGTACACACGGAAAAGGAAAAAAGTTGTGATATAAGGCTTTTCGCTTTCAACTGCTTTCATCAGCTGAATAAAACTCCCCTCATTCCTATGTATTTCTAGTAGCTCTGACAGCATTGCAAAACTAAAGCATCTGTGTGAAACCTCCCTTTCAGTGAACACTGGTGGTAACATTTTTTTAAAAACTCCAAGATGGTAAAAATTTTATTTTTGTGTTGAAAAAAAGCCATATTCCTGTCCTTGTTCAGCATGTCCAGATTGCTGATGCTGGCCGTTCCTCCTGACTTTAAAAATAAAAATCCAGACTTCAGCTGTATCGTGTACTCTCAAGAAGCCAGTATGAATCACATCTGTCATTAGTTTCATATTACAACTAAAATTCTTTTAGGGTTAGCTGCTGCTACTGATAATATAATAACACTGCTACTGTGAGGAAAAGGGACAGAGCCCAATTTTTCAGAAAAAGTGCTCTTCAGGAGACATCCAGCATTTTTGCAGTGTTGAGACCAGGGCACCAACATCATACAGAGAATGCAAAAACGAAAAGAAACTGGGGCAGCAAACAAAAGCAGCTTCAAACAAGCAAAATATTGCAGCTATACAGGTATGATGAAGTAAGATTTAAAGTTACAACAGATTTAACTGTAGTATTAGGTACTCTTTTGTGAATTTGCTCAAGTTCATTAAAGTTTAGCATGTATTTAGGAGAGTTCAGTAAAACTTTGCAACTATGCCTGGTTTTAGCACTAAATTATTAGAAGTCACAAGACTTTCATACTGTCACAGGCCTTTTTACAGTGTGTGAACTTCTGGAGTTTAAGAGAACCAGAGAAACAGCAATAAATAAATGTCCACACTTACCTCCTCAGAAGCATTACGAGAAAACCTTTTTCGGAGATGAATGTTGGCATCACTGTCACTGCTTCTGGATGTAAAAGCAAAGTTTTTAAATTCATAAAGTTAAAAAGAGACACTGCAAATGGATGTGACAGGTTTAAGCTACACAAAACCACAAATATGCATTGTTGCATGTATTAGAGTATGGACTGGAATTTATCAGTAACATGATAAAAATTTGGGAAAATGTGACCCACAATAAAAAATTCATATGCTCAAAAAGGACTCTTTTCTGAAAAATTGTATCTGAGAGCATTTTTGCACCTTTGACATCACTGACATTTAAGTTAGAGTATACCCAATATTTGTGGCCATTCATATAAAAAAAATTGGACTGCAGGGAACAGAAAGCTTGAAGGGGACAATAGGCTTTTCTAAGAAAACTCAAATTCATTAGAGTTCTCCAGTGATAAGCATCAACAAATTACAGTTCATGTCCTGCTCAAATAGATTACCTAAGAATAAATTAGAACATTAAAAAAAAAAATTAGAAGTAAATGGAGCAAAAACAGCTGAGTGTCTCTGTACTGGGCCTGGCTGGGCTGCAGTTAAATTTCCCTAGAGCAGTGAGCTGGGGCTGGGCAAGAGGCTTGGTGGGGACACAGCCAGGACAGCTGACCCAAACTGACCAAAGGGCAGTGACACACACACACACACACACTTGTTCTTACATCTATCTTTTGAAGCAATCACTATACCCTGCTTCCCAGGAACTAGCAGGACACTGCCATGCTGATGGGAGGTAGAGAATAAATAAATTTTTTTTTGGTCTTCTTCTAATTTGCTTCCACACATGACCTTTGCCTTTTCATTAAAATGCCTTTACCTCGACCCATGAGTCATTCATCTTACTTTCTCTCCAACACCTCATTTACTTGTTCATAATCAGAAAAAACATCCAAAAAGTATCTACTGAAATCAATTGGCGTCATGCTTCCATAGGTTACAATGCATATGGACTATTCCATCTACATTACAAAATACTGTCTCTGTTAAAAAAGCAGTTAGAAAAGTTATAACATTTCCATGTTCAAAATACACTGGGATTCCACTTGGGTTTTGTGTGGCAAAGTTTGTAGCACATTCAAACCAAGTCCCACTGAATCACTCAACATGTTTAAGAGAAACACAGGGAGAAGCCAATGAATCCCAATACTTCTTCTTAAAACAAGACTACAAAAAACATCCAATGGACAGGGCAATTTCAAAAGACCAGTTAGCTGTATTTATGACAAAATTAATGTGAAATACCTGGTAAATTCCTTGAATTCAGCATTTTCTTCCAGGTCATCTTGTGATAGAGTAGTAGAGGCAACTTCTAAGATCTGCAAATCTTCTTCAATCATATTTTTCTCTTCCTCCTCCCCATTACTATTTTCTTCTGGTGTCTTTATGGCTATTGGTAAATCCTCCAGATCTTCTACGATGGCCTGTTGAAATTACAAAATGTTTTGCTTTAGACAACAAGACCGATTCCCCACCCTTCCAAATATCCTAGTGGTGCAGCCTACTCTGACACTCAATTGCAGATAGTATGAGACTTCACTGAAGAGACTAAAAAAGCAATTAAATTTCTTGAAAATCTTTTTGGATACATGGAATCATCAGTTCAACATACATACATACATACATGCACACAGTAGGAAAGTCAGATCTTTCTATTAAGAAATGTCAAGACATGACATGGCTCTTTGAAACAATCCACCAGACTTTTTAAAATCTACCCCCAATTAACTTGCTGTCCTTCAAGTTAACAGCAAACTGACTTCATTACTGTTGTTAAGAGTCAGGACCAAAACATGTTCAAGCAATGTGTCTAAACAACATGTAGAGCAGCATTAAATGGACACTCATTCCTGAAAAACGCTGTCAAAAATTACTGTGCTGGAAAACATGGAAGGCACTTCAAAACTAGTGTCTGCAAGAAGAGATGCAGGAGCAAACTGCCTAAACCAAATACCACCAAAGTACCCACTTCCTTCTCCTCCTCCAGTGCAGACAAGCCTTCATTTTACCCATGTAATATATCCTACTCAAATTGTTTTTCTAAGGTTTTGTAGGCAAACTGTTCATCTGTTATACCTAAGGATTATACACCATCCTCTAACTATTTTAAAACACAATAAAAATTCACTTTTTTTCAGTACTTTTAGATAATCTTTTATGCTTAGGATTTTAGAGATTACAGAAGCTTCAAATTATTTTAAAACATAACATAAATTAACATTTTTGCGGTGCCATTAGTATAAGGACTTATTTTCTATTTTAATGTTAGATCTTCTCAGAGATCTGCAATTCCATTCATTCCAGTAGGGGGCTGTGGCAAACAGTGTAATGGAACAGGAAATCAAGTACATTTTAAGTATTTCTCCCAAACATTGCAAAATGAAAGCAAATGAAAACCACTGGGATCTGATGCTATGCCCACATATATACACAAAGAAATGCTGGTAATAAAATACCTCAGGATGTTGTTGAATAGTGGAATCTTCATGGTTGGTGGCCTTATTGCCATTTTCTTCTGTTTCTAACTCTTCTACTATTAATGGCACTTCTTTTTCATCTGAAGAATTCACGTGACTGCTTGTTTTTGTAGTTTCCTCCTCACTGTTCTCAGTATCTGTTTCTGATGGAGAGGTACCTAGCTTATTTTCCAAGTCTGGCTCTGGAGCATCTTCCTTGTGCTCCTGTTCTGTTAAGTCCTTGTCATGTAAAACATCTGTTACTGTTTCAGAAGCTTTTTCATTTCCTGTATCATAAGCATCGATACAAGGCTCGAGGTAAGCGTTCAGAACTGCTGATATGGGAACATTATAATGTGGATAATAAAAGAGATCATGGGGTATCACGGATACTTTCGAAGAACTGGGTAGCACTTCAGCTGCAGACTCAACTTCATCACAGCTGTCCAGGTCCTCTGGAGTTTTAGGTACATCTGAGAGAGAGTCATCAGATGTTTCATGCTGTGTAGATAGTTCTTGGCTTTCGAGATTAGAACCATTCGGTGAGCAAGGGTTTGTTTCTATTGTCTCAAGGCCAGGTGATTCCTTTGTATGTTCATCTTGTGGAAGTGTCTGTATTTCCTCATTTAGAAGGTGCAGAATGTACTTTTGTGTATCTTCTTGTTTTGATGTATCTTCTGGTAAAATAATTGAAGGCTGGGGTTTGATCTCTTCGACTTTATTAACAGAATCATCTGTAAGTATACCTGAAGTCCAGGATAATGGACTCAAAGAAGAAGTATTGGCTGAAAGGCTCTTGGTTTCATTGTCATATTCAGTAGGAGTTTCTTTAGTTAATTCTTCAGAATATTCTTCAAAAGAGTCAAGAGAATTTTTCTGATTTGCCAGAACAGCTGGAGAAAGGTCATCATTCTGTTTCAGTGGATCATCAGAGATGCTCACTTCACTTTGCATGAATTTATCATTTAGAACCTCCCAAGAGGAATTGGATTCAAAACTGACAGGTCCTGTAATTTTTAGTGAGGTAGGCCTTTGAGGCTCCTCTTCAGACATTCCCTGTAAATCGTCTAGCACTTGATTCAGTTTCCCATTACAATTTTCAGAAGTGGTTTCTGATGAGATTGTCTCAGGGATATCATGAATATGGACCTTTGGAGGAGCTGGATGACTCCTTTCATGATTAACAGTATACATGCTTTCTTCACTTTCACTTAAAATCAAGATTTTGCCTTCCTTTTCTGACGGTGTGTCTTTGATGTGGACATAAGTGGATTCAATTGGAAGCTCCTTGTCAGGATCTGTAAAGTCTTCCTGTAAGTGATGATATAGCATTAGAAGATAAATCCTAGCTCAGATACCATTTTACATTTCCCAAACACGATGTAAAGAATAAATACTTAGTCTTTCAGTCGATTACCTTATGAATGGCCAATTAATGACTCACTTATTTTGAAAGTAGGAAAACTAATTTGGCAAGTCAAGTGCCTTGAACAAAGCTCAGCATCAAGGCAGCTGAACAGGAAGATCAGAATGCAGACAAGCCTACTTCTCAATTGTTAATGTATTTATCTCTCTCTGCTGCACCTGTGGAGACAACTGACTTGGCTTTTTGACACAATCCCAAACCCTGGGAATAACATAAATCTAACAACTCCAATAAAAAGAGAAATATATTGATATACCAGATTATTTCCTTCCAACACACTCTATTAAAAGAAGTTTTTTACTTTGTCCATTAAGATGCCAACAAGGCTTAATGTCAACCAATCTTATTGCTCATCTAATCTAATAATAATAATTAGATTATTATAATAATTTTAATTCCAATGACTTTAATAATGCCCATCAATTTTATCAACTACAAAATATATCCCAACTGTAACCTTTAGTCAAGAAACAAGAGAAAATGCCTGTTTCTCCAAAAGGCCTTTGCCAGTTCTTTTCCCTGTCAGCCCTTGTTTAATCCTCAACTCTTTATTTTAGCATTAAAATCCTGGTCATTTAAACTGTAGTTTACTTCATGCTTGTAATGAGTGCTTTTTACTGTTGTATTGACAAAATTCAGCTTTTGGTATCTTGTGTCTCATACCTGCTAAATTCAGACTGATCACGGCCCTCAAACTTGAGAAGATAGAAATAAAAATTGAATTCAAAGTCAAATGAGTCATTATAGATAAAGGAATAAATTTCAGCCTTATTTAAAACCAATATAGCAAAGCAATAGAGTCCTATGAAACCAGTTCTAACGTTTGAAAGTTACAATTGGATGTAAATGTAAAAAAGCACAATTCTGCCTAAGGCATTTTAGTAATCAGCAATGAAAGCCTATTTCACCAGATGTAACAAAAATGTGAAAAATTAAATCCAGGTTTGTTGTTTATTTTAAATAGCTTAGAAAGAAACCTAGAAAATAAATCTGACTTTATTTCATACACCAAGGCAAATTAAAGAAATGACATGACATAGGAGTAAACACATACCCCTTCCAGCTCTGGGAAGTGCTCCAGAAATTGTGCCACATATGTCACAATTGACTGTTCATCGGGTGACTCCACCATGATATCTGTGGAGACAGACGTGAGGGGCTTGAGCACACACAGCTTTGAAATGCTTTTGCAGAGGAACAGATTGTCAGACATTTATCCTGCCATTACGGTCACAGAAATAACAGCTACAAACACTTCTCTTTTTTTCTGAGAGATAAGAGAGATGCTCTTCACTGCTGATGGCACTTGACAGAGTTTGCAACATGCTATTCACATTCATTTTTTCCTATTTCCAAATCATACTGAACCCCGATCAGGGTTCCCTTTTCATTCACTTTTATACTGCCATTTATGCTGTTGTCACCAGACAGTTGACAGTGGTTGAGTGACAATAAAGAGGTTTATTTTTAGCAGGATGGTCTAGTCTTCTAACAGGCAACAAAAGTGCAATTATGCTTTCAATCATGACACCAAGGCCTAGCACTGGTCTAGTAGAGCTCAGTAAAAAGAACAACAAGAAATCCACTTATAAATATTTCATATACGCATACACACTTAGGTTTACATGTATAAATGCTTGTGTGCATATATGCACTGTAAAGGCAAAACTGGGAGATGCAGATGCATTTGAATGGGTACCTCTCAATTTGCCTGGTATGGCAGCCTTGCACAGTTCATCCTGGAGTGACATTTAGTCTCTGCAGCCTAGGTCTTACAGAGCAGTGGTAATGCATTGAGACACCATTCAGCACAACAACTGATGCCCTCTAAGGATGCAGATGTCACAAAGCATCTAAGCATGAACCAGGACCAGCGTACATAGCTAAAACCATGGTAAGATCTTTGACCTCAACGAGCTTACAAATATGACTGGAAGCATACAATTACAAGCCACTGACCATTTTTATTTTTCTTATCAAAAAGCTCAGCACACTGATCCTATCAGCAGCCTAATCACTGGGAGGTTTTTGGTATGTATCACAATGCAATATTCATGAATTCACCGTGGTCTGAGCGTTACCCAACAAAGCTGATGTGTTTACCTTCTGGTTCGAGGAGCCGAGGGACACCCAGTTTATTCTGTGCTATGCTGAAAGCATCCTCCAGGTTTTCTCGTGCTGATTTCTCCAGTGCATGCTTCATGTCTACCAACGTACAATCTATGGCTTTTATGACAGCTAAGAAAGCAAGGCCACTCCTCCAGCTACTTGTGAAGTCCTGGACTGCAACGCCATACCTAAATAGAATTACATACATTTTACATGGGTGGTTTGTTACAAAATCCAAAGGAAAGGCATCATCATTTTCAGACTTAAAACGTCAAGTTGCTGAGTAGCACTTGTCACATTTCAGGTATTTTTGGATTTCAAAATCTAGAAATACATTTAGAAAACATGGGTTCACAAACCAAATTGGTGTGGCTAACAGCTAACACCAACCTGCTTGTAGGAAGTAGTTAGTAAAAACAAAGCCCTTAAGAATTCAGCAACCACATTTAGCATTCACAAAACCAAATGTCTCTGTGATTCCTGTTTCTGTTGCTCTCCAGCATTTTAATGCCATAGCTTGGGAAAACTTCCAAGATTTAAATATTTAAACACATAAGCATAAATGATTCACATTCTTGTGTACTTGGCCTTCTATAGCAGAAAATCTGCCAAATGAAAATGGTGTCAGCATATGCACAAACCACAAGAGTGTTAGATGCCCAAAGTTTTGGAGGAAAAACAGCCATCAAACTTGCAATGGAAGACAGCCCCAGAATAGAAAATTCTGCACAGATTATGGGATAACAGGATTAAAATGATGCTATTATGTTTTAAATACTGCAGTTGGAAGAACAATTTTCTCTTATTAGATTTTTTCAATTTGCACTCTTTGACTGGGCTGAAAAGTCTGGGGCCTTTACTTCTCAAGTCCTCACTTTCTTTATACCACCTATTAATGATGACATCAGCATTATTTTGGACTATAACTGTACTTGCTCTATGGTCTGCAATGGCAGCAGTGAACTACAGATCTCAATGGGACAAGTTCATCTGCTCTACAAGCACCCTTAGGTTCACTGGAGATAACCAAGGGATGATGCAGTCACAGGACTGAGTATTCAAGATGTAAATTTTTGTCTTCAACACTAGATACAGAAAATTTGTGTTCAAAGGCAAGATATAAATCCAGAGACAAAATGCCAAATAATCAGCTAAACCAACCTGTAAATATTCAGGTAAACCAACTTTGACACATGCCCTCTTTAAAAATCTCTGCCAGTCACGACTTCAAATAATAATAATACATGTAAAATACACTCCAAGCATTTGCAAGTGCATGAGACATCTTACACTACAGTTTTTTAACCTGACAGTAACTCTGCCAAGATAAAGCATTACTGCACAAAATGCTTTAGTGAAAGAACCGCTTTTTTAATTAAAGAGGAGAGAGATGTCTTATGCAGTGGAAATGCACTCAGATGTTACACGTTCAAGAGAAGTTACTTAAGCTTCACCCCCTTCCCCTCTTCAATTCTGAGGAAAGAGGGACTCTAGTAGGGGCTCTGTCCTTCAAGGCACTCTGCAGCACAAAGAGAAGCTTCCTCTGGGCTACTTCTTATTTTAAAAGGCTGCTGATAAAGTCTTTCATACATTTATTTTCTCAGTTCACCCCTGGTTATACCCAACTTTTAATCAGCAAAAGATGACAAATAGACTGCATGAAAGCCAGCATCTGGAGAGTAGAGAATGATCCCGTTTTAAACAGCACCAAGCAGGTTAGTGCAAGTTAACATTTAACATTCAAACCATGGAGCCAGCAGCAGCCTGCAAGGTCAGACAGCTGCTGTAAACACATGGCCATAGTGAAACACCCCTCTGCAGAGACCCTGTGCTCCCAAACTGCAAAAGCAGAAGCCACAGCACGTGGTAACACACCCATGGGACAGGACAGAGAGGAGAGACTCAGTTTCAAAGGGGCAGGTGGCAAGACACTGTTTTGTTCAAGGGTTTGTTAGCTTACTTTCTGGTTTTCCTTTGAACCCAGATAAGAAGGGCCCTGATGGCTTTCCGCTGATCCTTCACTGTAATGGACATGTTTCTCTCCACGCTGGGAGTGCTGGGGGATGTGTCTGATTCTGGACCACTGGGCCCAGAGGACAGGCTGGAGGAGGAGGAGTTCCTGTTGAGGTTGCCTGTAAGCTCCTTAATCTGTAATAAAAGGTGAAATACACAGTGTTCTGCTTTATCACTGACTGCATCGTGTCCTTGTTTGCATGCAAACTTTAAAGAGATCAGTGCCATAACTGAATTTTAAGTGATAATTATAAACCTGTTCATTTTAACTCTCAACTTGTATTTCACAAGCATGACAACCAGCAGCAGCCTGGGCAACAGAAAGGGCAAGCTACCAGTTCAGGCCAAACTGCACAAATTAAACAAAAAGCAGAGAAACATGTCCTTGAAAGAAAAGTTAGTTTAACTGAGATTGTTCTCTTCACAGGAATTGCTTGAGTGAAATATTTTTTGTCAAGAAATGGTGACCTGCAGCAGCACTCCTGTCCTCGATCAGCACTGACATTTGAAACTCTGCTGCTTTTGGGTCCCCCGTGCCCTCTGCTGCCAGGGTAACAGGTTCTGGTCACACCATCTTTGCCTGTGAGCCTGCCTGGCCAAACTGGTTCTGTGCAGCACTGTTCAGCCTGAGGACCTCAGCCAGGGAGAGAAGCCCCAGTGCAACTTTGAGATAATTTTTCTTAACCTTATAACCATTTTTTAAATCAGAACAAGAGTATGAAAGGGCCTCACAGTCTTACAAGAGTTGCAGAACCCTCCCTCCATCTCTCTCTGCCCATTACAATTTGGGATTGTCTAGAAGGTAATTTTCAAACTATGTGTAGGTTAGGGAGCAGTTTTAATCTAAGCCTGTGGATAAATCAATTTTCAGGCTCAAATATGTGTTATCAGTTCCAGGTCCTTTGAGATCTTTCATATGACCATGTATATCAGTTGCAAATTTTTGTCATGTTGAGTAAGTCTCCAGAGAACAGTGATGCTAAATGGAATTTCCCACCACATTGGACCAAATCCAGTAAAGGTTATTGAAAATAAACTATGACCTGGAACCATACCCAGGACATTGGTTCAGATCCAGGGAATGTGGAACAGAATCCTGAGAAGGCACAGGAAAGAAGGGAAAGTAGTAATTTGAAGCTCTATTTCACGTCCAAGTTAAATGAGGGCTTAAATTGTCTCCAATTTACATCAAAATAGGTCCAATGAAGTAAAATGAAAGCAGCTGCAAGTATAAAATTAGTGTACATTAGGAGGGGAAAAGCCCAGGTTTAGCATGATTAATTATGTTCTTTAGGATTAAAAATCAATTTTAAAATCAATTTAAAAATCAGTATTCAGCTGGAATAGATGGATATCATGAAGACTGATTACTTATGGTTAAAGTATATTCAAATTTTATTACCTGAAAAAACAAGATTATATTCCATATTAGTCCAAGTACCAGAGAGGAATTTCCATCTGCTATTTCTGCTGCATCAATGCTAACAAGCTTTACCTGTAGAAGAGATCATAAATTCAGAGCCAAACTCAAAGTAGCAAGGTATACACAAAAAATGCACTGAGACTACTGAATATGTCCATACCACTGTTGCCACTGACAGGCCAGCAAAAATGCAATACTGAAATTTTGTATTAATGAAAATGTCTCTGGTCACAATCACCCTTCTCCTGGAACTCCCATCTGAAACCCCCAGCATAGTCTGGAGAACAGAAGTGAACTCAGTTCTGCATTTTTAGGACTACAAATGTGTTTCCTCCATAGAAAAATGGAAGAAGATGGGGCCATCTCCAGTCGACCCCACTCATAAAAAGTAGAGAGTAATTTCTGACACAAAAATCTGGTAAGATCTGCTTGCTTCTTTTTTTCGATGCATTTTTCTATGCATCTTTTTTTCTATGCATCTCCTTTCTCCTTCCTTATCCCACCTTACACAGCTTGTCACAGAGTTCTGATTAAATCAGTTAACAACGGATAGGGTTGCCTAATCCAAGCAAACTCTTGACTTTCCCACACTGAGTTTTCTTCCAGCTGATAACACCAGGATGTTATTCTCCTAGACAACTGAGACTCGGTTTTGGCAAAGGTTATGGAGAAGGGAGGAAACAAGGAAGCTGTCAGTACTGCACATGGCACCCAGACCGAGTTAAAGCCCAGCAGCCCATTTATTTATCAGGGAGAAGTCCCGGACACGGTGAATCACTCAGCAGGCTCTACCCTGCTGCCTCAGTTCCACAGGAGCACATTCTGTCGGGTTCCACCCACTGTGGTTTAATATGTAACCCTGAAGCTCCTGGCAGCCAAGGCATTTTGCCAATACTTTCATCACCACCCTTCACTAACCAGATTGGTTAAGCTGAAAAAAAAGAAAGCAAAACAACTTTTTATTTAGTATTTTCAGTCTTAGCAAGAGGACACCTCTAGTTGTCAGATTTCAAGGATCAGATTTCTTGCTAGCTCCAAGGTGTTTGACACGGGAAAACCTTTAAGACATAGCACAGTGGAATAGCAGTTTCTCCAAAATGGAGAGCAAGTCGCATTTATCATTGCACTGCTCAGTGTTAACTCTGTCCTCTTACTGCTGCTTATGTTTGTCACCCAGCCCAGCAGAGATACTCAGCTAGAAGATATTGACTGCTTACTCTTAAGGGAACAGGAAATCCATAGGAAAGTAGTTTTTAGCACTACTAATTAAAAAGCCACCTGCATTCAAGGTTCCTCCTTCCTGGCCTTGCTGACTGAGGACCTAGTGACGTCCTGGAAACCAGATATGCTTCAGCTGCAGCTCTGCCAAGTGCTGGTATCAACAGAGAGAAATAACCTCATCTGCCAGTGGGCCTTAGCTGGATTTGGGTAAAAAGCATCAACTGGGAAACTGTTAAGAAATATGTGAATATGTAAAATATTTCTTAGCAGTTCTACAGCAGGAGGTGTAGATGTACACATTTAGGGCAAGATCAGCCCCTACTGATGGAATTTCCATAGGGAGGCTGGAACACCTGGCAGTTACTGGATAACTTCTTGACCTTTCACATCCTCTCCTGGGAAAAAAGGCAAAGGATGTTAAACCTCCCACATCTACAAAGCCATAAGAGATGTGCTAAGACCTCACATCATGCTCATCCCTACACTGGAGTTTGCAGAAACTCTCCTGCATGACAAGCACTGCTGCTGGAGCAGGAGCTAAGCTCAGTGCAGGGAAGCAGCAAAGTGACACCAGGTGCTGTTGGAGCACCCCATACAAAGAAGGGTTTTGCACACACTGATCCCTCCTCACCCATAGAGTTTAACCTTACTGGAGTAATTTACAGGAATAATTTACAGGAAATAGCCCAATATCTGTTTTCTCTTTCTGGAAGATCTCGGTATACCATGGATATGAATTGTTACATGGCTGGGGCTTCTCTTGACCCCATTACTCTCAACAACACACAGGACTTTGGAATAAACCCATCACAGGAGAAATAAAAAAATGAATCAATCATTTCCAGCTACAGGGTCTGATCACACTTGGTCACTTAAAACTGTAGGAAGTGATGCTGTGGTAGTACAACACTGACTATGAAGGGAGTTATATCCCTGTAAGGCTTTGATTCCTGGAATGATGCATTTATATCATGTTCCCAGATTTCACTTTCTCTTGCTTTTGACTCATGATTAGCTGCTGCAGCAATCAGTTTACCAGATAAATACATGATTTCTAATAGTAAAAGTATTTCTGAGAAAAAAAGTCATCTACCATCAGTGCAACTGAGGTAATGCCACTAAGACCCAGATCATAAAAATTACTTGCATTTCTTTTTATTTTCTTTTAATATTGGGTTCCCAATCCTTTAATCCCTTTGAACTTTACCATATAAAATGAGCAAATAATCCTTGCTTTAGACTCTGTAGGTGTTCTTGTGCATTTTCATGTGGCTTTTCAGCCTTGCTGCTAAGGTAAGTCACAGCCTCTTGAGCAGTACACTCCTCTTGCATACATGCAGCACATTAGATTAGCAATAATTACAATTTGCAGCATACATCAAGAGAAAATATTAAGACTAGTCTTTGAAAATACTCACGTTACTGTCCTCCAAGAACTTAAGTGCTTTGGCTATGTTGTTCAAACGAAAAATGCGATGGGTTGAAGATTTGTATTCATGCATCTAGAAAAAAAATGTTTTTAAAACTGGTGGAATCATTCACCACATCATACAAAGCTTAAAACACTACAAGCACTGAAGCAAAATAAAGCTAAGGAAATCTATCTATGAAAAATTATTGCCATCTTTTGTGAGCAGTAAAATGCTTCAACTGCACGATTGTAGCAAAATAGGGTTAGCAACCAGCTTTCCTGCTCTCCAGATGTTATCACTCTCTTGGACCTGCCACATTGATTATTTATGTAATCACTCCCCAACCGTGTTCAGTCACAGGATCAGATTTGCCTGAAAATTCATAATAACAGATTTTCTTTTGCCTTGAATTAAATGACATTATCCTAATTAGGAAGCATGAGCAATTTTAATAGCAGGCACAGGCAGGTGGGAGGCAAAAATCTTCACTTTGGCAGAAAGGGGAGATTTTGCATGCCTGTCTCCCTGCAATTCCACTTTGGTACACTGTTTTTATCCCATGTGTGCAGCAACAGCTAACAAGAAATTCAGCCAGCTGACCTTACCCCCTTCTCTCAGCTCCTCCCTGACCTCCCAGAGCATAGCCTAGGGTTTACCATGATGTATCTCCCCCTTAAATTCATTTCAAGCCTGGCCCTCAATGCAATCTGTGTGAATGCACATAGAGACACTGCTCCCTCTGCTGCAGCTCTGCCAACCTTCAAGAATATGAAAAAAGACTCTTGACTCTGAATGTGTGAGCACATATTCAGGGGCCAGGCCTGCTGCAGGGTTTGCAGGTGGTCAGTCACTACAGAGCATCACCAGGTGCATCTGCAGTGATGAGACAGCTGCTCTTCTTATTCAAGTGTGATAGGCACACACAGGAGAGTTCTGATGACAAGATTAATGGAGAAAGAAAACATTAAAGTCAACTGGGCATTTATATTTGCATTGGGTGTTCCATTTCTAGTATGTGTAACTTTACACAGCTCTTACAAAGAAAGGAGAAGTTTCTGATTAGTAAAGCTTTGCCCTGCTGATTTAGGCTGTATTAGTAAGACTAATAAAACCTGAGCCAGGATACCAGAATGAAACTTAGACCTACAGCAGGCATCAGAAGACCTACTGAGTGTCATAATGATCTTAGACATTAAAGGGATCTTAGGGATTAAAAAAATGATATAGCAAATATGTGTTTTCTTGGTAATGTGACTTGGGTAATCTCCAAACGGAATGTGTGAGCATTGGAGTATTAAAGCCTTAAAACCCCTGAGGGGTAGGAACATTAACACTGATCACACACCATTTACACCTCATTGTTATATTTCCTTGAAATCTACATTATAGCTCAGGACACCCACCTGTAGCATAAGGAAATTACAACAAAGTTGCCGAAATTCTTACTACATTACTCAAGACATGGGCCCAAATTCACTCTTATTCCTTGGATGTCCAGGTGCTCTTGCTTGTACATACCAATCTCCTAGGTATGGAGGTTTCTCCCTCTCTGTACATACCAGCTTTTGTCCTGACAGGACTTCCAGGAGCGCCATCAAGATTTTGCCATCTTGTATGTCAATAAACAAGTCTTTCACTTTCAAAGGAGGCTTGCACTGTGAAGAAAAGAAACCAGGTAGTTTTTAAAGCACTGCTTTTTGATAAATCATTATGACTTCAGAAAGGTGGAAGGAGAATTTTACAAGACAGAGATACAAAAATAAATCATAGCCTGCAGTAAGAAAGAGCTGATGGTTCTTCACATCGACGGCAGTTCTGTCCTATAAATGTTGGAGCTAAGACTGAAATCAGACAAGGACTAATTCCAGATTTCCCATAACAGAATCTAACCCTAAAAACTCTGCCTAAGAAATAACCACCCAGGGCTTGGGTGCTGATCCTTCAGACAAAGATCTGTCCAGCAGAAGCAAATACCACTTTGTGCAGAAATAAGCCCATGATCCAGCCAGCCACAATGTCCCTTCTCACATGAAAGACTGCTGGTGGTGCTATTCTGTCTCCCAGCATTTTCTAAGTACTTTAAAAAGCAATTTCTTGTACTGTGTCTCTCTTTTCTCAGCAAACTCCTCCAAAGGGAACCATCTCCTCACTTCACTGCAGTGTTGGTAGATGTGTGCACTTCAAGGCACACAGCCAAGTCAGCTCAGCCCTTAGGGTTAGTCCCAGCTGCAGCAATTACACTCTGCTCCGGTGTCACTCACTCACGTGTCCCTAAAGAGCCCAATCTTTTCATCTTTGGTTGGGCAATGAATTTCTATTTCGATTCAGCACTGCTTCTTGGCAAACCAGGACCACACATTTTCCTTACTGGTCTTTAATCTAGCCAAGAGACTAAACAATGCTCCGTGAAAGAAAGCAAAGTATCTTTCATTTCAAAATTAAATAACTTATCTGAAAGACTAAAACCCAAACACTTTCTATTCTTTCAGTACTTAAAGCAAGAATAAACAGAAGTTCAGACTACTCCCAATTATCCCATGAACAGCAGAGCCAGATCCTCTCAAGAGATGACCCAAGTGGGATCACACCAAAAGTTTCCTGAAGAAGCACAAGAAGACTTCATTGCTGCTTCTGAACAAAAGGAGCCACTCTGCAAGAAGTACTTCTTGGAGGATAAAGGCAGAAGACACCTTTCTCAGTGAGTGTCCTCAGGGAATCACCTATAATTAGAGACAGCTTTGGTGAAGCTCACTGTTTACATGGTTTATTACAATGTTTATTATGCCACTTCCAGGAAAAACATTAATAAAGCAGAAGGCTTTCACCCTTTCTCCAGAAAAGCATTTTTGTTTGTTGAATCAGAGAGGAAAAAAAATTTGTATGCAATCCAGAGAAAGCTGACCTGCCCACAAACGTTCTAAGACTTCATATGCCTGGCACAGGAGAATTAACAGCACCCTACAGCCTTTTTCATTATATAATTTCCTCTGTAAATCAAAGACCTTCTTTGCAGTCACATATTTGACAATCCTTTCTGACAAGTTCCAAAACTGCAGTTAGTTTAAAGTCCTAGAGCCTGATTCACAAAGGCATCACGTAACACTGTCTTCGTTCTGAGAGCCTTTGGGAGCAATTGCTAGTCAAAACATTTCCAGCAAGCCTTATTTTGATTTTCCAGTGAGATTTAAGAGGATCCCTTTATGCCTTCAAAAACACTCACTGCAGAGTAGTGGACTTAAGCAAGTATATATGTGAAGTCTTTCTTCTAAAACCCCTTTAGTGTGTCTGAAATGCAATCACTTCTCAAGAACTACTAAACTTCAGCCCCAACCTAGTCCCAGTCTGTATTTTTTTTAATTTAGCCACACATACTAAAGCATTGTGAAGCTCAATCACCAGTCTGAGTTAGGGCTCTGTCTAGATCAGGAACCTGGTCTCATTCCTTGATCCTGCACCAAGCTTTGCTTCTGTCTCAGTAATATTAGGACTTTTTTTTTTCTTTTCAACCTCAACAGCAAAAAAACCCACATTCTCTGCATGACAGACTACTCAGGAGAGGCAGTACTTATCTACTATCAATAAGAATAGTAAATTAGATTTAACAGCCATATTATGGTGTCATTAAGAAACAATTAGAACTTAAAGACATGACGTCCAAACATTAGCTCTCTGATGTAAGTGGAAATGAAGATCCCATCATATTGCCCCCCATAACATGATTGACAAGGAATTATTTACTATTTTCCATCTTCAGGTCTGGGATGAAGACAGGTTCTGAAGAACAGCTGTCTTTAGCCATGATTGCTCAGATGTTCAAACTTCCAGTTCAGGGAAGAACACAGACACCATCACCTCAGAGCCTCAACCATATTTGATTTTATGTGGGTGCATTCTATGGGAAAATTCTTCCCTCATGGTAACAGGCAATGGCTTTAAAGATTTAAATGTACCTGAGATGATGAATACCAGTCAAGCATTCATTCATTCATTGTGCCTAGAAATGAAGTTTAATTAATCCAGAAACAGGCTTTGACCTTCCACTTACTCTCCACCAAACATCCCTATAAGCACAGATGTCAGCTTTGCTTCCAAAGTTTAACTACTTAAGAGGAGTTAACTGCAATCTGTCTATGGCTATGTCCTTGTATCCCAATATCAAGGCTGTTTGTCAGTCTTACCTTTCCCAAATGCAGGTTTATCCATCTGGTAAAGGTCCTCTTCTGTACATTTTCGCGTTCGACTAGAAACACCAGAAACAAAAAACAGCACTTAACTTTCCAGAAGAGGGAAAAGTGGTAGTAAATTTCAGAAACTGATACACAAAAGAGTTAGAATTCATGAGAACTAGGTGAATAAAACAAACATATTCAAAATCAGGAGCTATAAGGTCCAGTTTCAGTGTTTTATTCAATTTCTTTGCCCAGGCATGAACTATACATTTGTAGATGCACTTTAAAGGCAGGAGGAAGGAATTTCTCAGTTTTGCAATCTTCAGTGTTCAGCTTCTGAGAGGTGAACATTTATGTGCTGTGCACAGCTCTCCAGTGTTGTCACCCTCTGAGCAGGCAGCTTGACCCTTCTATGTCAATTTATAGGATTATTGTTCTGACACCCGCATGCAGATTGGGCTGGCCTGGATTCCAATGTACTTGCATGCACAAGGAAAACAAGACCAACACAACAATTTTGTCTTCATTCTTATGAATGGAAAAGCTTCATGAAATCCCATCTTCCATCTCCTAACTAGTGCATTTAGAATCAAAATTCCAAGTCCCCAGACTGAAGAATCATTTTATTTATATTGCAATAAGACTAGGAGTGCTTGTTCCTCGCCAGAAGTGCTGTGCCCTGGGTGCTGTACAAACAGCTCTTGGGCCAGCTGAAGAGTTTTTAATCACATCTGCCATTTCCTGAATCCATTTCCATAGTGAACTATGGCAAGAGTGTAAGGGGAATTATATTACTGCCCAGCTTTCATTTACCTTCTAATATAAAAAAGTAAACCATATATTTAATATAAATGAAGTAGACTGTCAAAGCAATATTTCATTTTAAAGACAATTATTCTCAAGTGGTTCTCAAGTTTCACTTGAATTAAGGAAATCTGGCAATTTATGAACAAAACCCATTAAAACTAGTTATATGCTAGTATTTCAATTTACTCATAGAGCGTATCAAATATATTTTAAAACCATTTTGTGTTTATTCAGCCCTACAAAAACAGCTAACCTATCTACTGGGAAATCACATTCTCAAAAAGTCTGGGTTGCTTTTATTGGTCAGACTGATTATAGGCCAAGCAGTAGCTTCTGTAAATCAAATTTTAATATTGTTATTTTTGATCATTTTAACCAAAGGGTCAGCAGCTTCTAATCATATGTATAACTGTTTTCCTTATTTTGATGCATTGGAATAGAGCTTTTTCAGATGTACTTTACATCTGTCACTGATGTCCATTCAGGCCTTTTAAGTCGTCTTATACCATAAAGCCTGATTTTCTCCAAGATTGGTTAAAAAAAGTCATTACCCTTTAAGTGCTTTAGAAAACATAGAAAATGCCAAACTAATTATTGCTGTTGGCTTTTCTTTTAAAAAGTCTTAGAAGAATGTGCAAAGATTTGAAACAGCTCTCTAGAAATGAAACTGTAAATTATATTAGGACTCCAGAGTATCTGTAAAACACCCACAGCATTTACCACCTACAAATCCCAAAGTACAATAAACTGAGAGATGTGTCACATATTTCTTGGGCTGCGCTTTCTTCAGCACCTCAGCTTCAGAACTGGGTTTCCATGCACTCACTCCCACAGCCACAGCTGAGCAGCAGAAGTGCTGTGTGTCACCCAGGGTGTAATTTCAACAATCGAGCTGTTAAAATTAACCTTTGACAGTGGGTGGAGGTTAAGGCAGAATTGTTCCCAGATATTTCTTTCTGTTCAAATACAGGTGTGGGTGCAAAGGGGAAGGCAGAACAGGCAGAGGAGCTAGCAGCAGGTAACAGGGCCACCCATTAAACTTGTCTGACGTGCTCAGGAATGCTTGGATGGGCACCAGTGCCAGGTGTCAGAAAATAAAAAGGAGACCTTATCAAACGGGCTGGATATATAGATTTCCAATGTCAGCCAAAATAAAAAAGGAAACAAGGAAAGGTTCACAGAAGCAAGTGTAGTGTTTCCTGGTATCATCAGAGGCTTGGATTCTTGTCGTCAGTCACTTTGGCAACCTTCACTCTCAGTGTAAATAAGGATGCAAAAGAGAGCTGTGTTTATTTACAAATCATCCATAAAACTAAGTGCACACAGGCTCCTAATTTTGCTGCAGAAATTCTGCCATGATGCAAATCAGGAGTTGCACATATGCCTCAAAGGCTGGGTGAGCCAAGCTGGTATAACTGCTTTGGGAAGCTCAAACACCAAACAAAATAAAAAGGCACATTCAGGAAAGCACTTGCACACATACACAGATTTCTGAGATGAATTTGTCTCTATGGCAAACAGCTTCTTTCCAGGAAGAGTGTTGACCCCAGAATGGGCACTATTTGAGTCTGTAAAATTCTAAAGCAACAGTAACTGGAAGGGGAAAAGGAAAGGAGAAGAAATATGTTTATAAAATCCCTAAGGCACACAAACCTCTAATGCAGTCCATATGCTCGATGGCAGAATTAATGGGAAAAGTTCAGCACAAGTATTTACTGATGTGTGTCTTTAACTGCTATTCTGCTCTGGCATTGTGGACCTCCCAGTTTCAGTACAGCCCCTCTTCTCCACAATCTTTTCATTTAAGACAATTGTAGAGACTCTATAAACTTTATGCAGCTTCTATAAATTATATAGAATCTTTTTTACTCCTTCACACCTAATATTATATAAAAGTGAAGAAAATCATTCAAGTCCAAAGTTCCTATACTTTCATATATAGTTTACTAAAACTGCACTGTGTTTACTGGGCAGCTAGAGAGCAATAACACTATTATAAAATAATAATTACACCCACCATATGGCTGGCCTGCACACAAATCCTATACTGGAAAAGAAGGATGCCTGCTGTGAGGGTTGAATTGAAAGATGTAATGCTGGAAAGTGGTAAAAATTCAGGAATTGCCTTTTTGATTCAGCTCAGCTCAGACCTTGATACAAGAGAAAAATTAGAGACAAATTCTGACCACTTACAGAAGCTGGGTCTTCCACACTCCTCCAGTAAGCCCAACTACAACATGCTTTCATAGCAGAATTTGGCAGAATTTGGCTCAGCCCCAGTAACTGCACCCTAGTCAGTATTCAATATTCACTGCTTTGTAAAATCTTATGGCAAAAGCAACTAATTCATCAAAGAGTAAAACTAAGCTAGTTCACAAACCACTTGGGCAAAATTCAAAGTTAAGCTGCTAATGCACAAGGTAGTTCAGCTGCTTTCCTGTGTGGCACTATTTCCTTCCCCATCAGTCTAGAAATTCCTCAGGCATTTGCTAATGCCATTTCTTCCCCTCCAAAATCTCCTCAAAGGTCACTACTGTTTGCATCACCTGCAGGAAGCTGATCCCTAAGAGCCTCTGTGTTCAACAGCAAATTGGAGATAGCAAATATTGATTTGCTTCTAAACACTATTTATTCTGTTGTTGTAGAACCAGTTATGAATAATCCTCTGAGGCACACCACCATGGGGCTGGGCACTTCAAGGGACTAGTAAACATGGAAGCTGATTTGAGTAGAACACTTGTCAGTGTGTAATTACATAGCTTCAGGAAACTGCTTGATTTGCATGTATGGATATTACTCCCAAAGCAAAGCAGAAGGTCACTTAAATTTGCTTCCAAACCTATTAGCATTTCATCCAGGATATCATCATCAAATGACGTTAAAACCATCACAACAGGTAGATCCACTTATGACTTACCTTCTGGACAACTTGCCAAGTTCCAGTTTTATAAAAAGCACAAAATACAGCTTCCTTCTTTCTACCACAAGCTCAACCTCTACAGATACATTAGTTATTAACAAGAAGCAAGTCTTCAAGATGGAAATGCTGGTGTTGGCCATCTAACTGTGACAGAGGATGCTTTAACCACCCTTGGCTTCAGAGGCAATAGCTTGCCAGGATAATTGCCTCATGTTCACCTCGTAAGTACCCGGTGGCCACCACAGAACCAGTTCATAATGTGCATGGCTCTGGATGTATCCCAGCATTTGCCAAAGTCTTTGATCTGAAGAAAATGACACTTCTTATTACACAACAAAAATATAGGGGAAAATGTATGATAATTAAATACTACAGCCTTACTGCAAAGTGGAACATGGTTTAGACACCCTGAGTCTGGGGAAATGCAAATTCTCTCCTGCCTTCCTCACCTCTAAGCCCACATTCATAGAGTTAAGCAGTCAATCAGTCTCTAATGAACACACATTGAACAATCCATTTTCAAGCTCCAGGTCACTAAATAAAATGAGAACTGGATTTTAAACTGGGCTTCATGGTGTTCCTGCACTGTGACACAGCGTAGGTATTTCTGATTACTAGGCGTCATACTAACAAAGCTGAATACTCCTTTCTCTGCAAACACTGTTCACAAAGGAAGCTAGACTGACATCTTAGAAAATGGATTTTACCTAAAATTGCTCATTTGAGATGATGACAGATGCAAGTAATCGCCTATGGGCAAATAAATACCATGCCATTACTCAGAGTACTCAGTGGTCAGGCACTAGATACAGGATGCTGGTGATAGACACCGGATACGGACAGCCCTGAGGAAGTGCAGATCCTTGTCTGGGAGACCTTCCACTGTTCAAATACAATATGTGGGACAAAGTTCAGGTGCACAGCCCAAGGACAGAGCAAGCAACACATCTAACATGGGAAGGATGATTAAATGTACTGTAACAAAAGCAAAAGGGGAGTGAGCAAGGGAGACTGGGTGCGGGGGTAGCAACCGACAGCAAAAGAACTGGAGAGTTTAGGTGAAATGTGGGCAGGGGAAAGTGCAATTACATTTTGTACTTTTATTTCATCTGAACAGAGTTACATTAAACACACTGAACTATGAATGGTCAGAGACATAATTTCTATTGCATGTTTTCACAAGAGGATGAAAACATAGCTCACAACATTCCTCTTGAGTATATGGTGCAGTTCAGCAACACTGCTCTGTAAGCACTCAGTACTTGCACATAAAAGTCTCCATATTTGTAGGAGTGTGAATTTTAAAGGCATAATCAAAATATAAGGAATAACCTTAGCCAAACT